AGAAAGAAAGAAAGAAAGAAAGAAAGAAAGAAAGAAAGAAAGAAAGAAAGAAAGAAAGAAAAGAAACACCAGTAGGATTACAATTACCTGCTTCAGCAACATAGCAACCAAGTCTACACCACTGGATTCAGATATTTTGACCAAGAGATAACATGCCTACATCTGAGCTTCTATCCAAGCAAGTCTGTCACTTTCTTGGAGTGCTAGACCAGTAAAACCTGTATCTAACAAGCACATAGGAGCACACACACTCCTCACTAAAGTCTCACACATGGGCTACAAAAACTTAGTTCCATACAGGAAGTAGATTGTGTTTACATTTAATTTTACTGTGTTTTCTTTGAACTTTGGATTCGGGGTGGATGAGCAATAGTCGGCAGCAGCCTTCTTAGCATGATTAATTTCCACAAGGAGGTAACAAGGGAGACAAGATGACATCTTCAGTACTTTTCCAGACCTGTGCTCTAACCACTAGCAGACTGTTGCATGGTCAGCGCTAGCGAGCTCCTTTACTGGGCAGTGTCCGACTATGTGGGTGTAGACTTCTTCCATCTCCCATCCCACGCCCAAGACATTCCAGAGCTAGAAATGTCTGTCACCCACCCCTTGCCAGGTATTTCAGAAGGCCAGAGAACTGATGACGAGGCTAAGTCACATCCTCATCCCTGTAGAGCTAGTCAACATCAAAGTACAAACTTACTCTTTGAATGAAGCTTGCACATTGAATTAAGCCAGCCTGAGACTTTGGCAAAACTTGGATTATTTACCCTTGAGCATAAGAGAAACCAAGAAGAGAAATGTGAGTAATTGGCATAAAACCAAAATGGCCCTTGAAAAGGAATGCTCAGTAGGCTTTCCTACTAACAGTATCAACAGCATTGTCTTTTTAGTTAGAAAATGTTATATATGCAATCTAAAGTTTATGGAATTATTTCCAATCCACTGAATTTCCAACGTCTATGTTGATTTTCCATGAAATGCCACTATTGACTGCGCTCTGAATCTGTATGGGTGTGGGCTTCATAAAGAACATGTGGAGTTTTTTGTTTGTTTTTTGTGGTACCAGGGATCGAACTCAGGACCTTGCACTTGCCAGGCAGGCATTTATGCCATTGAGCTATATCCCCTGCCCCAAGACCATGTGTTTGATGGCTGCTATCTCTGAAATATAAGGGATCACCCCCTCCTTATTTGAAATGGGTTGCAACAGGCTGCATATACTTCCGCTCTTCTCTCACTCAGTCTCTTTCCATTCCACAGCTACATACAGATGGTGTTTGATCTTTCGTAGACAATATATCATGTTTGCAATTATACTTTTAAGTGAAAAAAGTCAGCAAAATAGCTGTTTCTTTATCAGCCTTAGATAACTGTTAAGAAGTCCTACTTTTGCTCATTGAGAAAATATTCTCTTTGATAGAGCACTTGTCTAGCTTACAAAATACCTGAAGTTCAATCCCCAGCACCATAAGAGAAAATGGGAGAGCTTGGTCCCCACATGTGGGAAGAGGTTTTGGTTTTATTCCTCAATGAAGACGAGAGAAAGGAATTAAATGTTTTGTATCTTTCCCATCTTTTGTGGCTACCACCACTACCAGCCCTACCTTTCACCAAATGAAAATAGAGGCTCAGAGAAGTCACCCGCTGCCGCTCTGCTCCTTCAGTCAACATTACTAGTTCCCTGCGTTAGGACTTGTCTTGGATTAGATGGCGGAAGAAGAGGAAGTGCCTCAGCTCTGCGTCCAGAGGGCTTACAGTCCAGGAGAGCAAGCAGAGCTGTGCATCATATAGAATGTCTATGTGAGGTCAGCCTGATGAGGGCCCTTTATAAATTATAGTTGTCATCACAAACACCCGACAACTTCAGTTCCAATAAATGAAACCAGTAAAACATGCTTTGCAAGTCTTGAGTGGAGGAATGAATATTAGGTCACCGGGAAACAAGACCAAGATCCCTATGAAGTGTCTCTTGTGTGGCAGATGTAGACCTTGTGCTTGTCACCGCAGGACTTCAGAGCAGATATTATTATTATTCCATTCACAAATATACCAACTGAGGCACAAAAATGGTAATTGTCCCACATTATGTAGCTACTCAATTACAAATCCACAATTTGAAGATAGGTTAGTTTAAACCCCAAAACTGAGGCTCTAGAATCTAGGTTGTGAAAGAGTAGGAACTTTGCTGGACTTAGAATCATATGTGCAAACAGATGAGGAAAATGACCCCCCAAAATCTCATGTGTTCAGCAGTTGAGCCTGACCAGAAGAGACAGGCTACCGAGTCACGACCTTGAAAGGTGTATTGTCCCTTCCTCCTCCCCTCTCTCTGCCTGCTGGTCCCCACAACCAGCTGCCCCCCAACACTTTCCCACCATGCCATTTCTGTCTTGGAGCCCATCAACCATGAACTGAACCCACTGAAACCTTCACCCAAAATAAACCTCTCTTCCTTTAATGTGTAAGTGTCAGGTGTTTTGTCCCAGCAACACAAAGGCTACTAACAATCTGGATACGAGGTTTTAGTTTGGAAACATACAAATGTTAGTTTTAAAACTAATGTGTGAGTATACTCTTTTGTGGAGAAGAGAAATAAGGGGATCTTATTTCTGAAATAATCACTGTAGATGAAGAAAGATCTGACCCCTTTTCTGGCTCATAATCATTATGTTAATTATGTCTTAAAATGAAAAGCATCCATTTCCCCCAGGTATCCAATTCTTGCGAGCACATCTCCTCTGGCTCAGGGACAACCATTCATACATGTGTTCCTTTATTTTACAGACATACTTGGCAAGTGCAAGACAAAATCAATGCCAACAATGTGGCTTACACAACCGGGAAGCTGAGCTTTCACACTGACTACCCGGCTTTCCACCATCCACCTGGGGTAAGTAGAGCTGCAGCCTACTTTCCACAAGGCAGGCTGGACCTGTAGCCTCCTCAGCTTTGACTTGAGATGATCATGTATTTCAACAATGCATTCATGTCACAGGAATTTTTCTCCAAATACATCAAACTCACAGAATCCCTGTGCCTAAGTTCTGCATATTCTCAGCATCCCTAAGAGACAGAAGACTTGCATGCATCATCTTTGAGATATTTCTTTGTTCTTCCTGGAAATAATTATCAGCACTCTTTGCTTTGCCAAGACAGATTTGAAGACAGGATGCACCTTGAGCTCTTTCTGCATGTGCATCACTCTTCAGAAAGTTCAAAAAGAAAGTAGAATTGGGCAAGTCGTGGTGGAATGAACCAGCAAAGTCACATGGCCACCATTTGTATCAGTGACTGCTGCAGAGAAACATGCTGCCTAACTTGGTGACTCAGCCATGCCGTCGCCTGTCATGCTGTGTGGGCTCTGTTTAGCTGCCCATTTCATGCTTGCAGGTCGCATGACTGCAGTCAACTGCTGACTTGGCAGGAAGGTTGGTTGACATCAGCTGGATGAGCTGTCTCTGCCCCACTTGGCCATCGACAGTCTGGGCTTCTGCACATGGAAGCTGGCAGAATCCCCCAAGAGCAGACTAAAGCAAGGGAGGATTCTTTGGGCCTAGGTCACTCACCAGCACACCGTGTCTTCTGCATATTGTTTTGATCTAAGCAAGTCCTGCACTTAGCCCAGACTCAAGAGATGCAGGCGCAGACACCTCGTGGAAAAAGTGCAAGGATGAAATACAGAGGGATGTGAGTATAAGATCAGAGCAATCATGCTATTTGGAAACCAAGACTTCATCCCAACCACCAGATTCCTTGCCAAAGTTGCGATGCTCCTTATCAAGCCAAGAGATTTGCCAGGACGAAGTCTAAGTGAACATTCTTCCCTACATCTTTATGAAATTCTTATTTTGCTAGACCAAACCCATATTTATGAAATTATTATTCTTCTGAACCAAAAAAGAGAGATTGTCAGAATAGTCTCTTCTTTAAAAAAATACAAAACAGTACTAGAAAAAAACAGCATTAGAAATAATATAAAATTTCACTAAAGAAGTAGAAATTCAACAACAGTTTTCATATTACATGATGTTATCTTCAAATTAGTTGTTCAGATTATCAGCTATAAATGTGTAAGATTGGCTTAAAGAAAAAGCAAAACAAGACAATAACAAAAACGTTATAAGAAATTCAAAAGAAAAAGTAAGAAGTATAAAAGGGAAAAATTTAGGCATTGACCACTGCTCTCAAAACACCAGAAGAAATTGGCAGTACAATTAGCCAAACTACAGAATATTCTTTTAAAGGACATTTTGCCCCTATAGTTAGAGCCTAATTGGATGACATGAAATGACCACACAGAAGTATTTCTTTTCAAAAGTAATTGAAAATTTGATTGATTCCTGAGGTAAAGAATGAGAAGTGAGCCAAAATCAAAATTAATCCATTTTGATCAGTGTATGTATAGGCGCCGTCCTTGTTACCCACTCCTCTGGACAGTGTTAGCTAAGCCAACCTATTCCTGACTTCACATGTTTTAAATTATTTTGTTGGTTGTAAAATACCACATGATTTCTTTGAACTAAATGATGACAGAAAAATGGCCCCTGTAGTCACCTTTTGGAGTGAGAGCTGGGGAAGGAGATACATGATGTGATTTATTCTCAATGTGGTTCGGAGATTTTCCGAAACTGATACTAAAAGCCAAACTGATCAGCTCAGCCCCTCTGCCAAAGATTACTTGGAGAGGTTGGATGGAATAAAGCTGGAAGAATGAGACCAGAAAACTAAATATCCTACTTGAACCTTTTAAAAGTTTCTTATGAGTTTAAGTTTCTGGATTAACATGGAAAGTCTAAGAAAAAGTGGCTCAGTGACTCCATGAGAACCCTGAAGTGTGGCATAATGCAATGCTGGACATTTTTCATAGTGTTTCATGCTCTTTCAAAGCACTTTTACTTAGATTACTTGTTTGATTCCCCTGACATTCCTTCAAGGTAGACAGGATTTATTGCCATTAAAATGAAGAACTAAAGCACAAGGTTAAAAAGCTTTATTGGGTAACACCTGATTAATGGGGAGTTTGAACTCAAACCCAGGCCTAAATCTTGTTTTTTATCTAGGTTTTTATATTAGTCCTGAGTTGGAATTTCCAATAATTGTAGCTTACATATTTATGAAAAATCACATAGTTTATAAAGTTCTTTGTACATGTTGAGGTTCCCAATTTTATTACAATATCTTGCACATAGCAGAGACATAGCAGATTTGCCTTAAGAAGAGGGAAATGCAGCCGAGCCGTACCTGTCTCCATCTTCAGGTGAAACTTTAAAGCTAAAAGACGATGAGATTCGGGCTTGAGTCGGGTTGGTTTGGGTGGTGGTGATAATGGTCTTGCTGGGGATTGAACTCAGAACCTTCACATCGAGCTATATCCTGAGCCCTCTTTAAATATTTTACTCAGTTGCTAAATTGCCCCAGCTAGGTTCATACTTTTGATCCTCATGCTGAGATTTCAGCATGTGCTACGATGCCTGGGTAATGATGACAGAGTTTTAGATGAGGCTCTGAGTATTTAGAAGCTAAAAGAAGACCAGCACCGAGGCCCCCACCTGCTCAGGCTTCCATTTTGAATTATTCAGGGGTTGCCTGTTACTGAACACTGGGGTTCCTATAACAAAGGAAAAGGCAGTGCCGCTTTCAGGAGAAAGTTGTCAGGGCAATGAGTAACTGCTGAGAGTCCAGTTTGGATTACAGGGGAAGATCCAGTGTTCTTTAAGTCCCTTCTGATTTTGCCATAATGAACTCATGGATATTTCAAATGTTATTTTCTAAAAGGCCAGTTGAGGTTTTCTATGCATGGCAAAGGCAAGTAATAGCTTCTTTCTGAGTAATTTCACTTTTAATTCAGAAGTCAAGCTCAAGTCTACCAATCTCCAACTAATTTGAAAGGTACACATATGCCTGTACCACATAGTGCTTCCATCTGCAAAAATAAAGATAAAAATATTCAATTCTGAGGACCACTCTGAAGAGTAATAATGTACATGATACAATTATGGTTTGAGAAGTTAGATAAAAATGCTTCGAAAATGCGGAAACTGGGATTGTTTTGGAGGGAAGGCAAGATTTACGTTTCAGAGGAGCACTAGTAGAGCAACCACAAGCCACACGGCTGAATCGTAATTTAAACTGAGATGAAATGAAATCCACAGTTCTTCAGGCACCCTGAGTACACCTCAAGCGCACACAGCGGTGTGGACCTAAGGCTTACTTTGCTGGGCGGCAAATTTTCCATCACAGCAAGGTTCAGAATGCAGGAGAAGACCCAGCCGACGGAGCACTTCTCCCTCCAAGCCTCCTGTCCTCCTAATTCTGTGCATTTGATCATATTTACCTCTTGCATTCAAGAATAAACTCAGAAATTGATTTTCAACTTATTCTACTCAGCTTCAGTGAAATCTTCATAATTGAATGCTATTATTTCTTTAACCAAAAAACTCGGGTCTAAATGTTGGTGTTCAAAATCACTCATCCATGCTGGGGAGATAGCACAGTAGACTAAGTGCTTGCCTGGCAAGTGCAAGGTCTTGAGTTCAATCCCCGGTACTGCTAAAAATAAAAATAAGTAAGTTTTAGGGGTCAGGGAGATGGCTCAGTAAAATAAGCACTTCCCTGGCAAGCGCAAGGGCCTGACTTCAATCCCCGGTTCTGCAAAAAAAAAAAAAAATCATTCATCCGTGTTCACTTAACAAAAGAACTCACAGAACCAGCGACAAATCCATGCAAAAGATTTTTTTACTTTGCTATGGCTTGCTTTTCAAAATGACATAAAGCTAAACATCTCCCCTCTCCTGCACCAAATGAAATGGTAAAATTAATTTGGATTGACTGTCTCTTCGGTCCCTTATTCCCAGTGCTGCATGGGCTCGCCCGCCTCTCGCAGTCCCACTGTACTGTGCTCCCTTCTCTTCTCTATGCATTCGAATCTCAAAACCTACTCTTTGGCTTGTTGTCCTCCAAAATGACTCCTCTTGTGGGAGCCCACCTGACCAGCGTTCTACAGCTCAGCTCTGACATGCTGCCTTCACGGCCAAGGATTCCTTCCAGGCCCAGCAGAAAGTACCAGTGTGCCCCATCTGTCCTTGAGGACTCTACACCACAAAGCAGAGTCACCGTCACCTCTCCAGCTGATCTACTTCTGGCCTGAGCCCCTGCCACGGCCAGTCTTGTGTCACCCAGAAAACCACATGTGCGTTGTCACACAAGCCCCGGCAACGTCGCCTGTGCTCCGCCTAGACCTCGCACCTCCCACACCTGACACCTGCCTCCAGGCAGCCCTGCCCACCTCCTCTGCTGGCATCCCGTGCTCCAGGTGTGGAGGGCACGCCCTCCCAAGCTGTGCCTTTCTGCTCATGTGTGAAAGTGCCCTGTTCTGTCCACGTCTTCAACTGCTCCAGTTGTGAAGTGCGCTGCACTGATTCAGGGCAGCTGTTTTCATCCTTGATTCCTCTTCGGAGGGTGCAAGAGAACAGATTTTAAAAAGATGGATTCAAAAAAAAA